AATAGCTCCAACAATAACCATATTTTCATTAAATAGATAATATTTCAAACAAATATAGTCTTGTTTCATTTAGAAAGTATAGATGCTGTTGCCTGATGTTTGTCAGATTGACTCGGTTCTGGACCCAGTATTGGCCAGAGGACGACTCTGTGGCCCTGAGGCTCAGCGGCGCCACCATGAGGTCGCAGTGAAAACGCTCTAATTGATTATAATGATTATTATGACTGTGGAACCAGAACTGAGGCTCAGTCGGATTCAGTGCATTTTATTGATCATCAGCTCTTTGTTAATCATTGACAATATAATGGAAACATCCCATAATATCAGCTCCAACCAGCAGATTTAGACCAGAACCAGGAGAGTTTTGAAGGTTCTGATCCATAAAGATCAAGTTGATGCAGAACCGGTTCTGGTTCTATCAGCTTGTCATTCTGACTTTCTATCAATATCAACTAATCAGAATCAGGATGGGCTGATCATGATCTGGTTACCAGGGCAACCAGCTCCACCAATCAGATCTCTTCTAGTCAAACTGAATCAACCAGGTTTCCTGTCTGTTAAATCAGATTTAATAGAAAAATCATTTGATTATTAAAATATTCTGTTATTAAAACTCCTCCATCTTCATTTGTCTCCACAGAACCGTTTCCAGTCTGGGCCATAGTTCTACTGGTTCTACTGGTTCTACTGGTTCTGGTTGCTGCTGCAGGAGTTTCATTTTATTTCTGGCTCCGCTGGAAACTAGGTGAGTCTAGAACTGCATTACCCATAATGCCTTTGGTCAGTGTCTGCTCTCCTCCAGAGCAGGACTGAAACTGCTGAGACATTGTGGGTCTCAGCAGGACTTGTCCTCAAACTTGAGGACAAGTTTGTCCTCAAGCTGTCTCAGAACCTAAAGAGTCGGTGAGGATGGAGCAGAGCTTGGTGGGTTGCTGCCAGGCAGAGCTGCTGCTGTCTGTCCAACTCATCTTGTCCTCTGTTGTCTCTCAGCCCAACAGGTGGAGGTGAAAGCAGGGGTGAAGTCTGTCCAGCTGCCCTGCAGAACCACAGAGAATCTGGATCGAGACGTTAGAGTGGAGTGGAGGGACGGATGGAACAGGAAGGTCCATGTGTATCAGAACGGTTCTGATCAGCCTGATGAACAGAGCCAGTTCTACAGAACCAGAACCAAGATGGATGGAAACCTGCTGAAGAATAAAAACCTCAGTCTGACTCTGAAACGGCCCACATATGGAGACAGAGGGATCTACAGCTGCAGAGTCTACAACAGAGACGGACACGTCCTGATGAAGAAAGACATCTGGCTAAAGGTCAAAGGTCAGTGGTTTAAATGATGACAACTACTGGTAGTAATCAATAGTGATTGACTTATTAGAAGGTCAAAGGTCAACCTTTGTACTGAGTGATGAAGATGAGGAGGAAGAGGTCCAGGTTGGTTCTGGTTGGTTCTACCAGTAGAACCGACTGGATCAGTTCTGGTTCTGATAGGAAGAGATGAAGCAGAGGAAAGAAAACGTTAAAAAGACGAGAGAGAGCAGCTGGAAGGACAACCAGG